TTGTTTTGGTACTTTCGTTTTTCGCGATTATCTCGGAAACTATGAGAGATAGAGCCTTACAACTTATTCCATTGGATTCCTGAGGAAATTTGGGTTCCGTGAAACACACAGTAGTATGAAACTTCAACTGCGTGAAACACACAAACTTCACGCATGCGTGGAGTGTATGGAGTGTACGGGAGTGATTCATGCAATGGTGCGAATAGTCACGGCCAAAATTATAACAATTGGTCATTAATTGTTCTTGTTTGTTTTGTTGCAGTTGGTCCAAGTGCAGTAGCTGGTAAAGCGAGTCCTGGAAAAGTGCCTTTAAGTAGCCTACTCGCAGAGGATGGCGTTGGAGGGAGTGATGTGGAGCGAGGTGATGCAACGAGAATTGCCAGCATACCACCAGCTCGAGTGCCAATTCCAAGCGACAGTCCAGTTATTCAAGTGACGTGTGGACTTCATCACACAGTGGTACTCCTGCAAAACGGAGAAGTCTGGAGTTTTGGCAGCAACTTGTATGGGCAGCTTGGTGTTGGTGATTTAGTGGCTCACGCCGGACCCGTTCAAGTCAAGATACCAACAACTGCTACACAGGTGGTCGCGGGGAGTAATCACACTGCTGTGCTGACCTCAAGAGGTGAAGTCTACACATTCGGTGCTTATCAGAAAGGACAATTGGGGATGAATTGGTGGAATGGCCAGAATGAGGCGAATTCAGTCGCGTCACGTCGATCTGAGAGGTCACAGCCATGGCATAGTTTTCCAAATATTGTGCCAAATATCGGGGCTCGATGGGGAAGACGTGCCACATGGGTGGGGGCAGCTGGAGATCAAACGTACATTAAAGTCGATGAGATTAATTCAATCAGTCTCAACAAGAGTACAGTACTGGCGAATAAGAGCTGTATTCTACTTATTCCCCATCAGCAGGAGCATTCAAATACTTTCAAGTGTCTGGTGATCAATAAGAGGGATGGCAGCTGCAACAGTTTCACTGGGAATGATCAAGTGGACTTTAATCAGTGTGCAGCGTGTTTAGATTCACTCTACAATGTCATTTGGAGTTTCAACTCTTCGACAAATGAATTGAGTCCACATAATGTGATTTCGACGGAAGCCAGGAGTATTCCGAGTCTTGATGCCTTGATTTTAAGCCCAGGACTCTCTCTCCCGGTGATTCCTTTCTGTTTTGTCACACGAACGCAGGCAGCTATGCACCTCCTGGGGTGTCTCGACACTCTGACACAGGCTCAGGACGAGAGGCTAATGGTTGTCGAGGAGAATGAAACTAATCAATCGAATCAGGATAAAGTGTACAGTCGAGAGGATTATGTGACAGTGTCCAGGTTTGAGAATCATGGGGGTGGATGGGGTTACTCGGGGCATTCCATCGAAGCCATTAGGTTCATGGCTGATACTGATATTTTGCTCGGTGGTTATGGACTTTTCGGTGGTCGTGGAGAATACACAGCCAAGATTAGGCTCTTTGATATTGGAATTGATGGTGGGGATCAAGAGAATGATGGCGAATTGCTGGCTGAGACTGAAGAGATTCCTTACGAGTGTGAGCCACGTCAAAAGTACTCTATATTATTTGAAGAACCTGTTCAACTTCAAGCCAATCGGTGGTACGTTGCTTGGGCTAGAGTGAGTGGACCCTCCAGTGATTGTGGATCCGGTGGACAGGCGATGGTCACTGCTGAGGATCAAGTAATGTTTTATTTCAAATCATCGAAGAAATCGAATAATGGAACTGATGTGAATGCTGGACAAATTCCACAGTTGCTTTATCGTGTTATTACACCTGAAAATCAATCGCCTAATCGACCAAGGGACCAAACAGAACCTGTCTATATTCTCAGGAGGGAGTTCAGTAGAATGGTAACAAAGGATTGCTTCCAGTCGCTCATTTCTCTTCTTCAATGGAGCTGGAATACTTTGAAGGCTAGTCTCTCTGATACAGTACACCGAGTGACGAGTCATCACTCAGTTTTGGAGATGGATCATCTCGTTTATATCAGCGAGGCGAGTTTGAGACTGTTGAGAACATATACCAATGAAATTTATCCGATTCAACCGCTGAAGAAAACCCCACCGGAGTCTGTTAGATTGGCCGAGTGCATCGGGGAAGTTCGAGCACTTCTTCGTCAAATTTTGTCAGATCCAGTTCCCACCAACTTCAAGTCTTCTAAAGGAAAAACGAGGAAGACTGATAATACTGGGAATAAAATGATAGGATTGATTCTTGACGAGTGCCACAAGACATTTGTCGCCTGCTATCATGCATTTTATCCGACTGCCTACCTCAAGTGGACATCACTCTGTGAACTTTTGTCTGAAATCGATAAAGATCAGGGGACGACTAGCAAAGATCGTCTTCTCTCAGCTGTTTTGGCATCTCTGTGTAATTCCATGGTACGGTTGAGGTCGACCTTTCCGATCCTGAATAATGTCATGGACAGCAGTGATGGCATCAAGAGGCAATTGAGCCCATCAGACAATGCCGGTTTACCAATGATGAATTCCACTGAAACCCATCATTATCCCATTCTAGTCGAGCAAATGAGCTATAAGTCACAGGTAGAATCAACCGGCCGTGAGATCTTCAATTGGTCATTTCGTGAAGTTCTCGATCGACTGTTAGATTTAATTCTTATACCAGTTAAGAAGTCACTGTTTCGTGAGAAATGTAATTCTCTGCCAAATTTGGGATTACATTGTTGTTATCTATTGGCCCGTGTCATTGCTGAATTGGCGGCGCAATCTAGTGGAAATGAGGACGAAATACAAGCAGCTTGTGGTAGATTTATGTACACAACACCTTCGAGATTCACTAGAACTAATCAAACGAGAACTTGGAATACGGGAAATGGATCACCGGATGCCATTTGTTTCTCCGTCGACAAGCCCGGAATTGTGGTTGCGGGAATTGGTATTTATGGGGGTGTTGGGGTTTATAATTATGAACTCGAATTGTTGGATGATTTAAACAACACTGGGAATGAGCCTTCCCACACGCAGAGATGGAGTAGTTTGGATTTTACTCGAGGCTCGTTTGGACCTGACGACTGTATTAATGATATTGTCGAATTGAAATTTAGCAAGCCAGTGCCGATCAAGGAGAATGTCAAGTATGCTATTAGATTGAGAAATCATGGTGGACGTACTAGTAATGGTGATGGCGGTCTCAGCATTGTGCGAGGACCAGATGGGACCAATTTTACATTTTCAGTTTGCTCCCTGAGCTTCAATGGTACGACTCAAGCCAGGGGTCAAATTCCTCACATACTGTATTATGCAAATCCCCAAGATTCTGAGAGCCCCCAGACGAGCAAAGCTATTGGAGAAATGCAAGCGAGAAAATGTACATTGGCCATGACCACAACAATTATTCATCGTGCCAATGAAATTTTGTCCCTAGCGAGAGATCGTGCTGAGGATTTGGTTACAGCTGAAGTTCTTGGTAATGCAACATTCGTCACAACACTTCTACCATTAGTTATGGCACACATCAGTCCACTTGCAACGTCAGATCCACGAAGTGGCGTTCAGGTTTTAACATTAATTCAAGAGATGCTACCACACGTGGCTGGGCTCAATTTACTAAATGCCATGGGCGTCTCGCAAGTCTCACAGGACAGCGAGGGACCCAGCCATAACTCCATTCCCGCAACTACTAGCCATCATTATACATGGATCGAGAGTGACCATCCCTACAAGCCTGCTAGTGTTTCGTGCTATAAAGTTGCATTTCCCAATAGTGTTAAATGGATAACTCTTGAATTTACATCAGAGTGTGGTACGTGTCAGCCCGAGGACTATCTACAACTGTACATTCCTAATATTACGGGGGATAAGGAAGACAGTTTCAATATACCAGTTTTACATAAAATGAGTAATATTCCGAGTCAGTGGCCTCAGAGTGCTGTAGTACTTCCAGGAAATGAAGTGATTTTCTCACTGGAAACTGCATCGGATTATATGAAAGATGATATGTCGGTCACCTATGGATTCAAATGTCTGGTTGTTGGATACGACTGGCTCTCCTCCGGCAATGGCCTGAAAAACTTGGAAATTGAGCTTGCATTTCTTGGTGGTGCATGTGCGGCCAGTCTCATGAAAAAAAATCTCACGTTACCCACTGTTTCCAGTGAGTATACCAACGGCTTTTATTATTTCCTATTGTGTTATAAAATCCGATGAAAATGTTTCATTCATTTTCTTTTGTTCTTTGCTTTTGTGCAGTTGAAGAGATCGAGGAGAACTTGAAAATAGCTCAGGACACAGCAAAGAGAATATTTTCAATGCATTCATCACTCCTGGGGCGAGGATTTGCACTCTCATCGCCTCTGTCAATCTCCCAAGCTCTCGACGGAGTTCTGCCGTTTAGGTGAGTTTCAAAATTATGAAATATTCATTATAACTTTGCAATTTGTGATTGAGCATGAAGTGGCGTTGGATACCTAATCGGATAGCATTGTCAAACGAATTGAGTCAACTCGACAGTTTGATACGTGTCGAGTGGAGTTTAATGCCGCTCGACTAACTGGTGACAATTGTTGACTGCTAGCTTGAAATTCACTGGTTAGTCCGTCGAGACAATAGGATATCGGGTTTATCAAGTAAAATACTGATATTTTTAAGTGCTTTAATTATTATCAATCAGCGTAGAATTTTTATTCATTCACTCTTGTCGATTGAGAGCGCTTCGATGTAAAACAAATTATTACAGGATGGGCTGTTCTGTAATATCACAGTCTCACGATAATTAGAACTAAACAATTGCGTTACGAGAAACAATTCAACAGTTATTTATTTCTCATTTGAAATGTGTTAATTGGTATCGAGTTTTTGATGGCGATAATTACTTCCTCGTCACGTATTTCATCACGAACGAGGTCAAGGTTCTTGTTTTATTATTTCTTTTCAATGGAGATAAATTTTACTGCCTTCGTAGTTGATAATAATCATTGCATTCTCACGGGATTTGTTCTTTTGGAATCGTATGTGTTTCAATTATGGCACAATTGTCCAGTATATTTTTCGATTCATCACTTTTTGGTACAATTTGAACACAAATCAATCGATTGGATCAGGTAAAATTTTTTTCTTTACAGACAACGAAATACAGTATTCATAAATATAAAAAAAAACTAGACACTACATCACTTGAAACATGGAACAAAGCTAGACTTGGAAATTTTGATATCCATCTTCTCTCTATATGACACATAGGAGTTCGGAATCAATCGATATTTGATATGCGGACACGTCCTCCCCCTCCGTTTGCTTTAATACTATAAATTTCATTTTGAAAAAAATGTCTTTGAAATACCCAAGCATTTATTCTGCATACACTGAGTACACTGAGTAGTTTGTTAAACTTGAGTTGAAACAGGTATCACTTCACAATTTATACACACGAAATTCGCGCTCTTTGAGGATCTCATTCCAATTACTGTCTGATCCAGAGGAGCGCGAAGGCTCTCGTTACAATTCAGTGGTCAATGGTTCTGCCTTTTCCACAATAACGTGAAATTCAGTCTCTCGGTAGAGTCTTCCATCGGGAACAACCATGGTAATTCTACTGTCAACGGGGCCACTCGGTGTCGATCCATTTCTTCCAATCACTCCATTCTTCTGGGAAACAACATCCGGCGCACTTGTTGGTACACTCATCCATCTCTCGTGTCCACCGTGCTCCTTACAGCACCAGATAATCATTCCAATTCCAATGATTAGTATGACGATGAGGCCAACAGCTCCCAACAGTAGGAACATTATAGAGCTCCCCAGTGTACAATTTCTTCCCTCGAATTCAGTGAAACTCACAAAATTCCAGGAATCATCGGCGCACAAAAATGTCCCCTCTTCAATTGGATCAAAAGTTGTTTTTCGAGCAGATTGTGACGAAAATGAGTGGTAGAACCGAGAATAAATTGTGTAATTCAACACATTATTTGTCCATGGCTTCAAATAACTGCAGTCACAGGTACGATTGATAAAGACATTGTCGATAACTGGTTTAAAACTGTCTCGATTAAACATCACTGAGCCCTCTTCAAAGTAATCCAAAGTATTATTCGTAAATGTTATGTCGTAATTCGAATTAGACCTGATTCCAGCATCCTCAGGATCCCCTCGTATTCCTAAGAAAGAACCCGTCACTAGATTTCTGAATGTATTATTCTTTATGTGTACACCACCCGTCGCAGCAATGTCAAATGCTCCGGCCTCTAAACTCTCGATTATGCAATTTTGAATGGATACTGTTTTTGGTTTCTTTATGACAAACGCTGAACTCTTGACTAATCCCATTTGAACGCCATCCAACCGAAATGTTGTGAATACTTCGATATCGTTCATTGCTCTGCTTGGAACTTCTGAGCCAAGTGTTCCTCGTATAATATGAAGATAGTTGACATCAAATTTCTTAAATGCCTGTTCCTCTATTATCTCAAATCGACAGTCCTCTAGTCTTAATGTTTCAGTCCCAGCTAAATTCGCAAAGGCAAAGGCATTAACGAGATTTATTTGGACGTTTTCAAAGCTTATGGCTTCCATATCACCGCGAAATGTGTAGCTCGGCAGTACCTCGATGCTCGATGATCTAATGGATACACTCGTACGCATGGTCTTTGGTGATAGTTCAAAACTCTCGGTGAATAGCGTTAGGTTGTTGATGTCGAGCAATTCGATGGATCTCAAATTAGTCATTTTTGCGAGGCTTGAATTCATGAGAATAACTGATGGACAGTTGCGGATAGTTATCCAATTGGTGAAAGAACTCAGGGGCTGATCACCGTCTGATGTTAGTATCAACTCCTGAAATTCAACAATAATAATTGCTGTCAATGAAAAAATAAACAGTTGATATTGATAGCATTGTGAGCATTAGATAAAGGGTATTCCGATAGAACATCCGACTTTGTCGAGTTTACAATGACTCATGTGTGCTTTGTGGAAAATCAAATGGTCGCGTCATGTGTCGCGCGTCCGCATTCCGAGAATATTGTTATCAACATCAGATTGATTGTGAATTCAATTAAAACGGGTTGCGATGATTCTTTAAAATTAGGGGATGAAAACGTTTTCATTATAATTGATGAATGGTAACATGAGAGGGCATTTTTATAAAGCCTTCAGACGCAGGTTTCGTAATGGATGGACGAAAAGAATGGAGGGTCAGGACGAGAAGTCCTCGGAGGCACGTACCCGAGGCGATGCAATAAATATCGTGTGAGCTCGCTCACGTCCGGAATCTGAATATTATTGCTCGAGCATTTTCTTTACTACGCCCCCTTCCTTCACGGCAGTTCAACAGGGCTCTCATGAAAACCTTTTTGCACCTGCATACATCTTACAACCCATTTTACATCATTTTTTATTCTATTCCATTCTATGGCCTTATTTGATTCACCGTTCTTCAAATATAACGATGATAGGTGAGGAAAAAGGCCACACATACTTTGCGAAATATCAAAATTAATTATTATTCAACGTTTTATAACAGTTGTATCGTACGAATAATCATTCTCGCGATTAGAAACGTCGGAACGAAACGCGCCTTTTACGATCCATAAAGGATTTATGGGGAACAATTTCCTCCGGCATTGCGAGACTTTCGTATTGTTTGTTATATAGCTAGGGTTCGGCGTACAATATATACCGTGCACAGAGGGTTCCGCTGTCTGGAACCTTGATTATTTATGACTTTTAATTTTCACCTTGGGAATAAGAATAATTTGAAATGACTAATTTTGTCCGCTGATGTGCGTTAAAAATGAGGATAATAGTAAGTTGGAGGTTAAAGTTGATTGAAAGAAGGACAAAAATTGTTGAAGAATTTGAGACTAAACATATTTACAGTCACGATTGCTCAAGGAGTTCGTTCTCCCGACAACAAATTGATGGTGCGTGTTTCACCTTACATATATTTATGATTCTCTTTTTTTTCTCTTGTTCAAATTAATCCGTTGCTCAACTTGTTTTTTTTTTCTTGTATGGCAAAAAGAAAATATTCAACGGCTAAAATTGTTGTTGAGTTTATTATATTCGTTTATTTCGTTACGGGCGCGGATTTTATGGTTTGGTGTTTTATGGCGTCACGGAACCCTCGTCCATTCTTTCCTCTTCAGCTTTGTATTTCTCCTTCATTACATGGTGGAGAATAAACGGTGAGGCTTACTCCGCCTCAACCCATAACTTTACTCCATTCGAAGTATGTATATTTTTTGACTAAATCACCATTGTGGCGCATGAATAAACGTAAAAATAGGGAAATCGGAATTTTGGGGATAGATGTGTGTGTGTGTGTGTGTGTGTGTGTGGTGAAAATTGCCAATCACGAATAAGAAATCAACAATCAAGAGTGAACGAGAATTCGTGATTGGTCCGATGAAATAGTAAAAATTAGAGTAACGAGAATCGTGCGGTTTCGCCTATGGCTAAAACGAGAAAATAAACATACACACATTGGGGGAAAATTGAACTCCGGTCTCGACTCTTGTGCTAAAGAGTGAGCGTTTTTATTCCCCAATTTCCTCAGTTTTATTCGTGTACTGTGTTTTTTCTTTCTCTCATCCCCTTTATGATTAAAAAATGTACATTTGAATTGAGGAATACGTACCTCAACTTGATCTGCACAATTGCAGGTGAGTCGACCGTAAGAATCACAATTGCATGCCGATGAACTGCACATTCCCTCTTGTGTATTTGAGGCAGCAATTGTTCTCGATAAACCACTCAAAAATAAGGAAACGACGACACTACTGAGCAGGAGCTTGATTGCTCCCATTTTCCACTGTTTATCCCTTAAATCGGCAGTTAGCAATTCGTTGAAAATTCCATTTGTCGAAATTCCTACATCTTTTACGTTGGTCTAGGGACTATTGTTGGGCTTTATCACTATAAGCATTGGGGAAGGGGAGAATCCCTCGATTGTTCCTCCATTTGTCTTCTATTATCCATCAATGAAATGGCACTTTTGAAATTTATCAGTTCATATTCAGTTTTTAGATGATAATATTGGAAATTGCGTCAGGTGCTGCATCACGTAATGTCAATTGGAGTATTCCCTTTGTCCCCTCTTGGTGCTGATCGTGAGATAGTCCTTCTGGAATGAATAAAAATTCATGCTTGGATTATCGTAGTTTCTCGGTAAAGTGGCTTTCAGCACTACTAATTTGTATTCGACAGAGTGGATTTGCGGCAAGTTCTAAGCGACACTCCAAATTGTAGCTTACATACACACACTTCAGTTTGTTCTCGAGATTTCCCTCAGAATAACGTTATTTCAATGGGTAAATTCATTTTTAAAGTATATACAGTTTGTAGACTGTTAGTTCTAGACTTTTATCACGAGTAGCTGTTGGCTTTTTTCCCAGCTTCAAAAGATAAAAAAAAAGAAGGATGAAAAAAAATTCTAAACCCAGAGAGCCATGAAGAGAATCTCTGTCTCCACAGCTATGTAAAGGTTGGAGTTCACACCGGAAACATTATCCACCGCGTAATTATTTAAATTTTCATATTTTCCAGAAATTTCACTACTGCAATGCCACGAAGATTGACACTTATAAATTCAAGCCATTCAGAATGGAAATAATTGGGGGAATGATGGAAGAGACGCATCAATTCAGTTTTCAGTTACAACGGTAATTAGCAGTGTTCCACATTTTTAACATTGCATAATTACTGTCCCTACACACGGTGATTAAATATTTCATTCGCGTATGATTTACACGTCACTCAGTGGATATTCATGAATTCAAATTCAGCTTGAGGCGTCTCTCGGGAGCTCATCTGATAATTACAATGGGAATTTATGGTCCTTCGGTGTGATTGATGCCGATTGATATGATCTTCTATTTTCTGAGACGTGACTCTTGATTCTCTCGTAGTTACAAGGGGGAGAGAACTCTAAGCATCTATCCTCATTTGAAATTGAAAGATAAAAAATTGTTTGAATTGACTTTCTCAAGCTGGCACATTGCATAGTACTCTTGAGAATGTTAACATTAAGCGTAAATAAAGTGCCAGACATCTGCTCAGTGAGACTCCTATCTACTCCACTTGTATTTTCGTTCAACCCGTTGGTGGCTTTCTATACAGCAGACGATTTAATTAATTGAAACCAATGAAAATTATCTACAGTATGATGTTCTGACATGTGACACATACACCAACACTTGAATTATTTGCTCCTCTCAGTGAGATAAGATTATTCCGGAGGGGGTAATGGGGAAGTGTCACACTAAATGCCCTCATTGATAAAATTGATTGCTGCGTTCACTTCCATGTCATTTCGTTGTTTTTATTCCATGAGAATCAAACGTTCACTATGTCCATATTTTCATTACACCGATTACTACGAATTATATAGTTTCCCCAATTTATCCTCCAGGATATGCTTAATGTATTTAGTCTTTTCGCGTTTCGGATGGGGATGAGTGAATGTCGTTGAACGGCGCACAGCCAGAGACTGTTGGCCTTTCGAATTCTCCTACGGGTTTGTACCTCTCAGCCGACAGCGTTATCGCGCTCCCTACTCCTCAACAACTCTCGCACGCGCGCAGTTATTCTCCCACTACCTCTTCCACTGGTGTATCCACACTCTCTGCATTATATATGCGACTCTCACTTATATTCCAATATCATACACCTTGCACTCCCTCGATCATGACAATTTTTGCGAAATTTCATCGGTAATCTGCAGAAATGCACAGGTTATCCGATAAATTTCGTTATACGATTGGCTTCAGTTAATGCGATGAAACTTAAACATGCCATTCTATTTTTCATGTGGTTGCAATTAATCTTTTGGTGGCTGTTAGGGATGCCATTCACCCTAGGATATGAGGAAAAAAGCTGGAGGGTGATTCGATTTATGCGTTTTATGCACTCTAGCACTTTTTTTATTGATGCAAAATGAATTGGCGCAGGTATTTTTGCATGACTGCATTATATGTGCGTCTCATTTATATTTTAATAGCATGCATGCACCTTGCACTTCCTCCACCGTCACAATTTTTCTGAATTTCTTTAGCAATCAGAAGAAATGCACGTGTTATCCGATAAATTTCGTTGTATGAATAGGAGTAGATAATGCAAGAGAGCTTTGATGAATAGAATAAAATTATTCCTTTACAGACTTAAACACGTCATTTCTATTTCTGACAATATCTTAATTTTTTAGATAATTTTAATTAATCTTTTGATAGTTCAGTCACCCCAGGACATATGTAAAAGGCTCTTATATCATATCATATTATTCGCGAGAGAAATTCTATCTATACGTTTAATGCACTCTCCAGCATTTTCTTATTATTGAAAAATGAATTGGCGCAGGCATTTTTCAAATGAGCAGGACGACAGTAGAGGCTAAGTGACGCTGTGGCTGCCACGCAGTGAATATTCCATGGGACATTAATTAACCGTTGATTAATCACGCGAGACGTACGATAAAAACGAACCTTCGCTAAAAAGAAAACTGAGTACCTCCATTTATTGACCATTTCTTTTTTCCATTCTCGGAAATACGAAAGACCGAAATGATCTTTGGATTTTATTTCATATCGCTGGGTCAAGTATTATATTGCATCAATCGAAAGGTCTTACAAATCCACGACTTTACTGCATCTTACATTTCTCCAACCTTCACTGTTTATTTTCCAGTTTCATATGTTTTCCGTTCGGCTTCGTCTTATCATTTTCCTCCACTTGTTCGCTCTTTTCGATTTATCGTTCGTAGAATGGTTTACTAGCCCTTATCCAACTATTGGAAAAGTGAAGTTTGCAATGCAAAATAATTTTTCTTTCAAGCAAGAATATTTCTTCCCATTGAGTTCAGCAGCTAGTTGAGGGAATTTTTTATGGTAAAAAACTGGCGCATTAGGTATTCGACGGCATGTACGATGCACGCGTCGTTGTAAAAGTTCTCAACGATTTTATCTTTCAACAACTACCAACGTAGAGATACTGGGAGGCGGGAAGCGTACAAAAATAGTGAGAGTTCATGATCTCAGAAAAGGGTGAGTATCAAGATCGGATTTCCCTTCAACTTTGAAGCCGGAAGTTCCGTCTTTTCTGCAATTGAAATTCAGTACGTGAAAGTCGAGTGCACAAAACCAGAATCGGGATACGTCGGGAGTAAAAAAATTGAGCGAAATTATTTTTAGTAGAGATTGGAGGGATTAACTTGGTTATAAAATCCTCAAAGCCTCTGGGGATAATTAGTTCGGTCATTAATTAGTTTGCAAATATGGACCATATCAACATTTACTTTCTCATTTAATGTAAAATTCATTCAGCTTGTTTGACATTTGATTGAAGAGACGGGTTTATTTGAATGAGAGCGTGAAAAATGCGGGCTCCCTTATTTATCTTTAGAGGCGCGAATATATGGATTATTCAACCAACAGCCAAACCTAACATATACAATTTACCCAGGACTACTTTTATGTCACTTCGGTCACATTTCCTTTGATTTGAAGCTCGAGAAAAAAAAATATATATGCAGTGAAAGGGAACAAAGAGTGAAATAAAACTTCAAACGTCTGGGAGGATTAAATACTCAGTGGATGGAACCCCGAGTAGTTGGACCAGGCTTTCGGCAATTTCCTACTGCCAAAGTCAATAGGGTTCTCTTTTACTTTTCAATGTCTCTTTTTGTCAACCATTCCACGGTGTATTCAGGAGAATAAAGATTTGACTATTGGAGGTACAATTCAGAAGCGCATGATGAAATCAAATGAAAAAACTATTTCCAAAGAGTAGACCGTTAGAAATTCCTTGAAATTCAAGTAATACCTACATTTGTATATTTAATGTTGTGAATTTTAATTGAGTTTCTTATGAATTTTATTGAAAATTCAATAAAATTGAGCTTTTTACGGCGAGGAAATAGCTTATTCGATTAAGAGAGAGGAAAAAGTATAATTGATAATCATATTTTATTCGAGAATTTCTGTTTTTGACAGCCTGATGGCCATTCAGGAGTTGAAAACATGAGGAATTAACGGCATAAAATATATGTGAATGGGGGAAAAATTCGACTTCCTGGAAGGTCAATCAATAAATACTCACCCGTCAGTTGTTGTAGAATAATTCAAGCAATAAACAATCTATCCAGATATTTCATTAATTTCAGTCGAAATTCATTGAATTGTAAAATTTGGTTTGCCCCAATGGAATCGATTTCAATGCTAGCAGGGAAAGAAAACTTGGGGCCGTCACGTAAACATGCTCGAGGCTGGGTACCAAACAATCCACTCAACTCTCCAGAGCAAAAACCAGGGTGGAGTGCTACTGAGGTGTACGCCATGTCAATGTTAGCAGTGAAAAATTACTTCTCACGTCTAAATACATAAATTGCAAATAAGGTTCGTTAGTCTTGTGAATCATCGAAATGCATATTCTGTCCATTGAGCTGTAAGTCTCCCATATGTTTCACCCATATTGTCTGCACTGTCGGTACATACATATGGAAATTTGCATACAGCTAGATTAGGGGTGAAAATACATATACAGGCTTGGGATGCGTGTTCGTTTCGATTCCATGTTGCTGAAGCCGGGTGAGCTAATTGCACCGAGCGCCGCCTGGTTTTAATTCCATTACGTGGTGGTGCGTCGTGTAGATGCAAATTTTCTGTGCTTCTGGTGCCCTTCCATGAATACACCAGTCCCTTTTCGTTTTCTTGCTTGTGAGTCGTAAGAGAGTACTAGCAATGCACCAGAAACTTGTGGATTATCTTGGGTAACCGACCAGCGAACCAGTTTTTATCCTAATGCTAGGCTTTCAATTTTCTCAGAAAATACCCCTTCTGTTTCTCGACTAAATTGTGGCTGTGGCTATCTTCCAGTGATACGGGCAGGATAGCTTGCTCGATGTGATCGTGTGGCTTTGGAATATATGGAGTGTACATACAAGTGGCGTAAGCCCAGATAGTTTTGTCGGTGAGGACAGGGCTTTTGATGGAGTGAGTGAGCTCCTCTGCTGCAAGCAATGTTCATGGTTCAGGAGCGTATAACTTCATTCGCGAATTTAGTTGCAGATCCTTGTTAAAGTGCCTCTAGTCATACTGAGTTTAATATCGAAATTTCCACCGAGGGAATTCTTTTAATGTTTGCTGAGTTGAAATATCTTGACTAACGATGAACAACTGTGAAAATTTATTTAATTGGCAAGATTTTTACAATCTGATTCTTTCAGCCTTTTCATCATAATCCTGTAAGCCCTTCCGGTATCCAATCGAGAAAAGGATTGTGACAAAAATGAACTTGATCCCAGAAATTTGTTTTTTTTTCTCACAGTGAAGATGATTGGTACCAATCATCGTCTTGTGTACCATGATTACAAGATATGAAGTTCCTTTGCTGCATCGAGAACCATCTCTATTCGCCAGTTGGTAAATCCCTTTTCCCATGTAATTACAGTACACATTGTTCAACGCCCGAGCATGCGGCGGCCCTGTTAGCGTGACAGCAGTGCACCAACGTTCTAGTCTTCCCTAGGGCCCTTCTACATCCCATCATATATATCTACACTATGTAATGGTACGTTAATATCCTTGGGGCGATCTATCACCAACTCACCACCTAGGT